TGTGCCCTGGCTGGGAATCGAACCTGTGATGCTTTGGTTCGCAGCCCATGCTCAAGCCACTGAGCTATGCCAGCCAGGGCACGTTTAATAATTCTTAATGTCCACTGTAAGCCTTTCCCGTGGAATCCTCTTGGATGCGGGAGCAGGGCCCCTAAGCCCAACCAGCTCCCTCTCCGGGAGCTGAGCCCCACCGGGGAACTCGCGTCAGAGCAGGGGGGAAACCAAGCAGGTGCTTTCTCTCCAGGCCCGTCCTGCCATTGGAGGGCCAGCGGTCCTACCCAAGACATGGTGTCGTGGCGGGAATCGCTCTGATCCGCTCACTTCCCGGCGTGCCCTGCTTCAGACCAAGGCCAGGCAGGTGACCTGTTTGACCGCTGGTTGCCTCTCCCCACTGCTCCCCTGTTAGAGAGGGAGGAGCTGAGGGAGCTCAGGAGAGACTCGGGGCCCAGAGCTTTTGCCGGGGGTGCTCCCAGAGGCGCCTCCGCCTAGTGCCGGGCTTTGTACCCAAGTGCCCGGCTCCCAGAAGGTGGACCCGGTCTTGGGCACCGTGTGAGCAGAGCAAGTCACGTGGACTCCTCATGGGGACGGTGGGAGCTTCCGACAGCCCAGCTCCCAGAGGCCAGCCAGCGGTCAGCACTGCCAGCAGCAGCAGCCACTTCCCCAAGGGTGGCCGCCTCGGGCCCCTTCGTTAACTGTTGTCTGGGAAACTCCTCCAAGACTCCTCCCCGGGCCGCGGGGGCGGGGTGGGCGGGGGGAGTGTGTGTGTGTCAGTGTGTGTGAGTCTGCGATAGAGCCAGAGCGGGAGGAGGAAGAAGACTGGGTAGAGACCCTTCAGCCCACTGGGCAGAGGCAGTGCTCTGAGAGTGGGGCTGGGGTGCAGAGGACAGGGGACCCAGCCACATGCGCTTGCGGCGAGGGCGGGCGTGATGTCTCCCCCGGGGCAGGAGTTACGGGAGGACGTGGAGCAGCTTCTCCAGCTCAGAACCCCCGCTGGCCCGCGTCGAGGTGCCACACTCTGGAAGTGGGGGGAGATGATTTCTAATTTTCCAAACCAATTTTGCTCACCCGATTTCCCTTTTTCTTTTATCAACTCTTCTGCCAAGAAAGGGGATTGAGGAATGAAAGTAGCTTAATGGAATGTGCTCTGTGGGCTGCGGGGCTGGCGTCTCCATGGAGACGGGGATGCATGCGGCTGCATCTAGCCTCGGTGGGCGGGGAAGCAGGGAGACAGTGTGCGCCCCCGACAGGGGCCGGGATGTGAATGGACGGCTCTCTGGGCAGAGCGGATGCCGGGCTCTGCTCTGGGGCCTGGCTCTGGACTTGGCCGGAGCCATGAGTGTGAGTCCTTCAGAGATGACCGAGATGCCCTCCGGGGCAGGCCGAGGCCACAGGCCGGGCAGGAGGCCCCCGGGCACCCTCCCTGCCCTTGGGAAGCTCGCAGTCAGCGGGGAGACCAGAGGGGTGAAGGGGTCACGAGAGTGCGGGTGATTGGTAGCCATGGAAGGACCCCCGCGTGGGGTCCCAGAGAGGCCTGCAGCGAAGGGTGCTGTGGGGAGGCGCCCTGGTGTGTGTGTGGGACGCCCTCCCGGGAGGGGGCGGTATAAGATGTGCAGAGAGCCTAGAATGTTCAGAAACTTGGGCCGTGGAGGGTGCGTCCATCTGTCTGTGTGTCCATCTGTCTGTGTGCACACCTCTGTGTCTCTGCATCTTTCTGTGTGTGTGTGTGAGTGTCTGAATGTGTCTGTGTGTACCTGTGTACGAGTGTGTGTGTGGTGGGGGGTCCCTCGGGGGGCAGCAGTCGGTGACACGGCACAGGTGGGCAGAGCCCACGGGATGAAGACGGCGGCGTGCCAAGGAAAGAAAGCGCGTTTTGGGCCCGTGGAGGCCTGACCCCTCGGCCTCGCTGCCCTGCTGATGGGCTAGGAAACCCTCCCGGTTTACCGACAGCCTCCGCGGTCCCGGGTTTGTCACCTGCAAAGCAGAGAGGGGACCGGAGCCTCTGTGTGCGGGGGCCCGGGATTCTAGATGTGATCTCTCCCCTTAGACGGCTCTGAGGCTCGGTAAGGTCGCAGGCCCGTTGTGTCGGGGCACGGGGTCCACCCCCCATGGGGCAGCGTGGGGTTTTTGGCTCGTCACAAACCGTCCAGACGAGTGATTGAGGGAGATCCCTCGGGGGCCAGCGGGGACGATGCATCAGAAGCGGGGCAAGGGAGAGGCCAGGGAATTGACGGCCCAGGCCCAAGGTGCCCTGCTGCCCCATCCACATGCACAAACCACCAGCGAACCCTCCAGGGAGCAGGACCTGGGGGCCTTCGGAAGCCCAAGGCCAGCGTGCGCACCTTGCCTCTGGGGGCTGTCGGTAGCTGGGAGAGGACAGGCCACAGCTGACGGCAGCAGAATGTAACACCCAATGGTCCTCAGGACGAGGAAACGCCTGAACCAGACTCAGCTCTCAGGACGCACGAGGGCAGCGAGGGCAGCAAGAAGCGCGAGTTTGTCACTGTGGTGTTCACACGGAAATCGACCCGGCGGGACCTCCCGGCGGTGTCGTGCAGACTTGCGTAGGGGCGAAGAGTCATTGGCAGGTGGCGAAGCCGAGGCCTCCCCCGGCCCTGGGGTGGCCCCATCCGGCCCGTGAGGACGTGCGGTGTGACCACGCAGCGCCAGAGGGGCGGCCGAGGGGCAGACTGAGAACCAGCAGGAGGAGCGGAGATTTCGGCGGGGCTGCGTGTGGCCGGAATGAATAGCAAACCCGTAAAAACAGGACTGTAGTGAGGGTGTTTCCTCTTGGACTTCCGGTTTTGTTTTTATCGTCATGGGGCAACGGGTTTTTAATAAAAAGAAACACTGAGGTAGTTACAGATGGGCGGACAGTATTGGGTGTGGTTAGGCAGGTGGACTTCAGACCTGAGTTCAAATGTGTGCCCTCGCGTATGGAAAGCCACTATTCATGCCCTCAGCCTCTGACAGACCATCTGTAAAATGGGCACTCGGATGGCCCCTGCCCCACAGGGCTGCGAGGACTCACCGAGATGTGACGCACGCCCGTGCTCCGGGGATGCTGACCGAGGTCATGACCCGGGGCCGGGCCGGTCCCGAGGGCTCCGAGCACCACCACCACAGTCTTCCTCCTCACGGCCAGTGCGTGGGAGCCAGCAGTGTCTCCCCGCCGTGGAGGGAGGGAGGAGGAGGCAGAGGGCTCTCACGGGCCGACAACTTGTCCGGGGTAGCGCACCGAGTGGCCGAGCTGAGCTTTCTGTCTAGCCGGCCTGGCTCCGAGGCACGGCTCCGTGCGGTGCTGGGCGCTGCGGAGGCGGCCGGCAAGGCAGGCTGCCCCTGGGGCAGGGTTTGTGCAGCCTGCCGTCCCCTCGCACTTCCCACTCCAGCCCCGGTGGCAGGACCTTCGGGGCCGAGCCAGGAGCGAGGCGCAGGGCGGCCCTATTGCGTCTCTGGAAGCTCCAGCTGCCGCTTGCAAAAGATGAGGGTCCTTGGGCGGCTCGGCTTCTGTCTCCCCAGGAAGCTCTGTGCCCCTGACGTGAGTGGGTCTGTGGCTCTGAGGAGCCCAGGGCCTGCTTTCTTCATGGAGGGGCGGTTTGCTGGGCCTCGAGGTGCCCAGATGCTGTGGAACAAAAGTGTCCTCGAAGTTCACGTTTCCGCCTGTCGCAAGGGTCCTGGATCAGCGTCCTGGCTGGGCTGACACAGTGGAGGGGGGGCTGTTTTCCTCCTCTCTCTCTCCCTGCCTCCTGGGGACGCCGCATCGGAGGGGGCAGGCCCTCCCAGGGTACGTGTGCAGCGCTCCTCGTCCTGGCTTGTTGCACGGTTGCAGCCAAACGCAGCTGCAGACCGGGAAACGCGGCTCAGAAGGCCGGGGAGGGGGCGGCGAGGGCCGAGGGGTCGGAGTGAGACCTGCCGGGGACCCCCGCGGGCTCTGCTGCTTCAGAGGCCGTGGTTTACTCTTCTCCTAAATTAAAAAAAAACCTTCTCTCTGTGAGAGGAATTCCGCCCTATTTCTAGGCCAGCTGACTCAAACGACTATCAGCTTTTAAAACGAACAGGAGGAAAAATACTGGTGATGTAGCAGTAGGTGCCCAGCGTCCCAGGGGCAAGCCCCTGCCCCTTTGTACGGGGACTGGGGTGGGCAGTGCCGGCCCGGAGGTGCCTCTGAGGTCAGCCAGTTCTCCTGTCCCCTACACCCTCTTGTTCGGCGCTGTGCTACTTTGTAAAGCTTGCTTGTAGTTCCTCATCAAGAGCTGGGCTCTCCCTGTGGGTGATTCGGGGACCGCTAGGTGCTTTTGAGCAGAGAAGGGTCATGCCTGGGCTCGGACTTTGAAGGGGTCTGTCTCTCTGGCTGCGTTTGTGTGAACCCGCCGTGGGGCCGAGGGGGCCGCTGGTCGGCAGGCGGGTGAGAAGTGGTGGTGGCTTGGGCCCGGGTGCCGCGGACCAAGGTGACAAGGAGCGGTCGGATGACGGATGTCTCCGCTGGTAGACTGAACGTGAGGAAAACAGAGTCCAGGAGGACTTCGTGGTTTTGAACTCAGTGGCTGCAAGGGTGGGACGGACTTTTCCTGAGATGGGACGATGGGGGAGGGGCAGATCTGCGGTGGGAGGGGGGCCGCAGGGGCTGGGGTTGGGAAGGCGTCTTTGCGTCCACGTGGACGTGAAATAAGCAGGCGGCGTCTGAGGTTGGAGTTCGGTCCTGATACCCAGTGGCGGCGATGGAACACTCATGCCCCTCGTTCCCAGGCAGTTAACAGGGAATGGAAATGGTAGGTGGGGAGGGGGTTGCACGTTGGACCAAGAAGGAGCTTCAGAAAGTATGTGTCAGAAGGGGAAACCGAGGCCCAAAGAGGGCAGACAGTTTGCTCAAGGTCACACAGCAGGGCAGCGGCAGAGCTGAGACGGGGCCAGTTCTCGGGTCCCCCTGCGCCCCTGCCTGGCCGCGCCTGGGGCCCGGGGCCGGAGGCTGAGGCTGGGTGACTGTCGGCTGTGTCTCCCTCCAGGTCACCATCCTCGTCAGCCTGGCCCTCGCGTTCCTCGCCTGCATCGTGTTCCTGGTGGTTTACAAAGCCTTCACCTACGACCACAGCTGCCCGGAGGGCTTTGTCTATAAGGTAAGGGCCCTTCGCAGGTGAGCGGCTCTCCTCCCCACTGACGTGCGGTGCTCCCTCTGACGTTGGGCCCCCTCTGCGGCGCGCCGCCTGGGGGGCGGGGGGCTCTGCCTGCTACCGGAGACCCAGTCCTTCACGCAGAGTCGAAAACCCCCGACCACACACACACACACACACACACGTTACAGTTCAGACAGTCTGCAGGGCGGCTGCCAGGCCAGTGAAGAGGAGACATTGATCCATCCCCCTCTCATCGAAGTGGATGGGGGTGATGGTGATGACGCTGGGGAGACCCAGACTGGGCGCTGTCCATCACCTGCTCCCCGGCTGTGGTCCCCGGGTGGGGTGGCCGTGTCGCGGCGCGGGGTGGGAAGCCGTCGGCGAGCTGCCCCTGACTCTGCCTCTCTCGTCCCCAGCACAAGCGCTGCATCCCGGCCTCCCTGGATGCTTACTACTCGTCCCAGGACCCCAGCTCCAGAAGCCGCTTCTACACCGTCATCAGCCACTACAGCGTGGCCAAGCAGAGCACTGCCCGGGCCATCGGGCCGTGGCTGTCGGCGGCTGCTGTCATCCACGAGCCCAAGCCACCCAAGACCCAGGGCCACTAGAAGCCCGCCGCAGCCAGAAGTGGGGTGGAGGGGGGACCCCCGTTGGCTAGGCCAAGCTCCAGTTACAAGACCACGCTGTACTCCTGGGATGGGGGTGGGGTGGGGGGACCGGGGCGGGGTGGGGCGGGGGGGACCCAGCCGGAGCTATCGAGCGCTGGAGTTGTCCGAATCGGTATTTCTTTCTGTCGTTGGTATCGTTGGTTCGTCCCCGAGTCAGGCTCTTCTTGTACAAAGGCATGTTTCGTGTTGACCGTTTCCATGTAAGATATTTTCAAAGCCCCTGCTCATTATTTGTTAGGAAAAGTGAAAAATCTGAACAGGAAAGAAGCAGAGAACAGGAATGGGGGGAAAAAAAAAGGATTGAACTGGCTGCAGGAAAGACCCCTCCCACCCCCGGGCTGCTTGGACCAGAGAACGTAGCTCCGGTGCGGGCCCCCGAAGGCACTCGGAGCTTGCGGCGACGCAGGCGGGGCATCTGGTGGCCGCCGGTCTGCGGGACAGGGACTGGGGAGGCAGGGAAGGCGGAGTGGGAGGCAAGGGCTGGTGTGGACATCAATGAGCCCGGGAAGCTCGCAGGTCAGAGTGCACGGCCCCCAGCAGGGGGGCGCTGGCGAGATGAGCACAAATTTGTACAAAGAAATCTTCTGAGCTCGCCGGCTGCGCGTGAGCGCCGGGTCAGCGGGCACCGGGACACGAGCAGACACGGCCTCGTTCTCGTGTTTCTAGATCTACACCTGGGCACTGCCCGTGTTTATGAGATGGGGGTGGGGTGGGAGGGGAGGGAAGGGGGCGAGGCTGCAGGAAGAAGGCAGGATGGGACAGGCGTGTGACGTTTGTCCACGGCGTAAGCACAGGTACCTGATTTTTGAATGTCACTTCAGTCGGTGGTTTGCTTCCCAAGCAATCGAGGTCATAGCCAGGGGGACTTTACAGTGGGAGCTGCCACCGAGCAGGTCATTTCTAAGGGAGGCAGAGAAACACGCCTGTCTTTAGCCCGCTCCGTGGTGTTGATGGGGGCGTCTCTCCAGTCTCCCTGATCTGGTTCTAGAAGCTCTTGACAAGGAGGCAGCATCAGGCGGGCCAGGCCTCCCACCGCCCTGAACCCCCTCAGTCCACTCACGGCGCTCTCCCGCTAACATCTGGGGAGGCCCGCTCCGGGGGGTGGGGTGGGGGTGTCGGCTCCAGGACGACACGACCAGACCCGGCCGGAGAGTTGGTGATTTGAGAAGTGGTACCGTTTGCCCTCGAAGCTCCGACAGGCCATTGAAAGGGCGTTTTTGCGTCTTGCCATGTCGCTGGGATCCTCGTCCCCAGCAGCTGAGTCGCCAGAGGAGCAGGGAACCAGCTGTTCTGCCAAACGCCACCGTCCGACTCTTCCTCCCTCCCCCCGCCACTCCACCCCCGCCACCTCAAGTCACCTGTAAATTCGTCTGTCACCTGAAGCCGAATAACAAATTGTCCCTAGCCACACGCTGAGCGCTTCATAATTTCGTGGTGTATTTTTGTCAGTAGGTAGCAGAGGCTGAAGTATTTTTTGGTGTACTCCTTGAACTTTTCTGATGGAAAACAAATAAAGATCGATGTGTCTGAGCGCCACGACCTCGCTTGGTGACTTCATCTTCCGCTCAGTGGGCCCGGCAGGGAAGAGGCTGGGGTTCCGGGGTCCCCGGGGGCCGGGGTGAGCTCTGGGGGGTGGAGTGTCCCGTTAGGCTGGGGCTGGGGTCGGGAGGTGGGGCACCCCCCCAACCATGAGGCACCTGGGGCTTGAATGAGGCCAAGGTCAGGAGCAAGGACCAAGAGATGCACCCGGCCGCTTGCCTTGCCGCCCAGCATCCTTAGCCCTGGGAGACCTGCTGAGCACCTGCCGAGGGCCCGGCTGTGCGGGGCACAGGCGCTCAGCCACGCACGATGCCTGCTCACAGCCCTGAGGGCTGGAGGCGGAGTCAAATGTGCAGACAGACCCTCAGCAGAAGAACCAGGGTGCCACCCACACACTACGGTGGGCCGGGAGACAATCGCTTCAGGAGGAAGGTGATGGGCAGGGGGCGGGCCCTCTGCAGGGTTAGCTCATTTAAATCTTACCTCCCTGGAAGGTAGGGGCTCTTGACCCCCACTTGACAGAGGAGGAAACTGGGGCTCCCGAGAGATGAAGAGGTGCCCAAGGGCTGTAGCTGATGAGCTGGGATTCCAACCCTGGTGTGTGCGGCTGCTTTGACCCTGGACTGGCTCCGCAGGCGCCTGAGCCACGCTGTCCAGGCTAAGGGTCGTTCCTCCAGGGGTCGCAGCCATCAGGAAAGCAATCCGGCCGGTCCTCAGCCCGGACTCAGTGTCCGAGGTGCGAGTCAAGGAGAGCAGCACGCCGGTGCCTCTTGCCCCATGCCAATCCTTAAGTGCTTTGTGTCTCAGTTCAAATACCTTCCGTGCGGTGGGGAGCCCCACCATCACCGTCATTGCTGCCACGTCCTCATCATCACCCCTGTCTGGAGGTGCAGGGAGGGAGCCCCCCACCCCGGAGGCAGAGCAGCGGTTGGCCCCCTGCTCACGCGGTTAGGAAGCCGCGAGCTCTGGTTCCAACCCATGGGTTTCGGTGCCAGCGTCTCAACCGAGGTGCTGTTCAGCACTGACTGCTCGTCTCTGCAGGCTGCCTGGTGGCTGATAGTTTGTGTTCACACCTCCTCTCCTCACTCAGATGGCAGCCGCTGCGGGAGGGGCCGGGGCCGAGCTGGAGGCTGGGACTCGGAGCTCACGGCTGCGCCAGGGCTGTGTGAGAATGTGAGTGACCGGTGGGGAGAAGGACGCGAGCCCCGCTCCTGCCCTGTGGCGCTGTCCAGGCTGTGGAGCATGGGCCTCGGGCCAGCCTCCCCGCACCCACCAGCCCTGGGCTGCGGCCTCCGTCAGGGCACAGGGAGCGGGGAAGGCCAGGCCAGGGGTCTGGGCTGGCAGAGCAGGTCAATCCGTATGGCCAGTCCGTAAACACCCAGCATATTTTCCAGTTACACACAGTCAGCTGAAGACGTCATGAACATGTCCCAACACCCCATTGCCTCAGGAAACACACCGTGGCTGTGTGGCCGCAAAGAAGGGGGAGTGTATGGGACCAGAGAAAGGCCGTCTTGAGGAGGGACCCTGGGTCCACGTGCTATTTCTGGCAGAGTCAGAGTTTTCTGGCCAGAAAGGAGGAGGGCTCCCAGCTGCTCCCACGAACGCCCAAGGACTGGGAGGTTCGCTCCAGCAGGGTTTAACTGAAGGGGGTTCGGTCAGGGATCAGCCACTCCGGGTTTCACAGGGCACTGTGGGCTGGCAGAGAGAGGGGCGGGCAAGCAGCCAGGAAGCGAGCATTAAAAACAGCACCTTGGTTCGCAGAACAAGTCTGTTTGTGACTTTCGCACACTTTTTTCATCTGCTGGCCGGCCCTGGGAACATGACCCCAGGGGTGCAGGGGGCCTGGTGGGGCGGAAGCTCCGAGGAGGAGGGGCGTGTCAGCCAGGGGCCTGTGCAGGGACCAGCCTCAGAGCTGGGCGGGAGGAGTCCAGGCGGGTGGAGAGAAGACAGCCCAGAGCCCACCAGCCCCCGGGGACAGTGTCGTGGAAGTCGCAGGAGAGATGCCCCTGGATGGCCCCCCCACGGGGCTGCGCTGGGCACAGAGACCCAGCAGGTGTGGGGAGCCGCTGGCACTCCCCGGGGCCTGGCCGCTGGGCAGGGAGGGAGGGACAGGAACAACCGGACGGCTGGGGAGAGGCCCGGCGGCACCTGGGGTGATCCCAGCAGTGACCTGGTCAGAGGACGTTTAGGGAGACAGACGTTTTTCTGGAAAGTTGAAAGACCCCTCGTTGGAAGAACTGCTGTTGGTCAGTACCACCCCCACACCCCCACCCCATGCCTGTGATGTGCTGGAATCCAACCAGGGAGTCGTGGAGACACGACAAGAAAGAAACCCCCAATAATATTTCCAGGAAGCACACAACACCAGCTCCTGTTTAAAAAACAGCGTTCCTGAACAGTTGCTGGGGAAGGGCTGGTTTCCATGGCAACGCCCAGGCCGTTCCCGTGGATCAGGCTGGGTCTGGCACAGCGGGGTGTTTATGTGAGTCTGCCCTTCTCCCAGAAATGATTTCTTCCTGAGAACCGAGGCCCCGCGCTCCTAATTGAAGTTGCTGCACGGCCCCGGCCCCGCCCCCCCCGCCCCCTGGACGCCTTCTGCCCGCCCCCCCCGCCCCCCGCCCCGCTCTGCTCTGTCTTCTGTGTCTCTCCACTGGCCTTTGTCTTCGTCTCTGCCCCTCCGTTTCCTTCCAAGGAACGAGGACCGGAGGCTGTGGGCTGGCTTGATGTAATTTTCGCTGCAGCCTGAGGTCCGGGGTGAGCACTGTGCTGGGGGTGGGGTGGGGCGCGGGGTGGAGGGGAGCTCTGAGCCCCTGGGCGGAGCCAGGCCTCCAGGCTCCGCCCCTCCCGGATCTTAGGCCTCGGCCAACTCCCTGCCTCTCTCTCAGCTTCGGTGTCCCCGTCTTTAAAACGGGGATAACAATTGTACGTGCTGCCACTTTGTGCAAGAACTCAGTGCAATCTTTTTACTCACCTGTGGCAGGTACTCGACCAATTGTAGCTGCTGTATCTTGCATTCAAGCCTCTTACTCAGCCTCAGATTTTTCATTTGTAGATTGGAGTTATTTTAAAACAGCCCCTCCCTCTCACAGGGTCACTGTGGCTTAGACTCTGACAGAGTGTGGCTTGTGGAGGCGGCTGGGTGACGTTGCTCCAACCTGGCCTGTAGCTGTCCATGGGTGCGCAGCCTCTGGGACACCTCCCAGGACGTGCAGGCCGAGGTCAGCCACCCTGTGTTGTGTCTGAGGGCTCCCGGCATAAGCTACACAGCAACCTGCAGATGGCTGCTATTGTGCTGGGCTCGGAGGGGCCCAGGCGAGGCCAGACGGCGAACCGAGGCCAGCTGCTGCTACTTCTGGGCCTGCAGCCACTTAGCAAGACCTACGGGGCTCACTGAGGACAGATGCTGTGTGTTTGACAGGTTTAGGAAAATCTGAGGCTTGAGCTGAGATGAGCCATTCACATGGAAAAGCCACTGGAAACA